ACCCTAAACCCTAAACCTTCAGCGGTCCACGCACGCCAAAAGAAAGCTGGGGCCTGGAGTTTATGTAATTTCAATAAGGTTTCTTGAGGGGTGTCCCAGAGATTCCGATACCCCGAAATTAAGGAATATACCTGAAAATTATAGTAGGGTCCCTAATAAGATTTAAAGTCTATTCCGTAGTTAAGGGGTATTGGAGTCTCTGGGGTCTATAGGGTCCCTATACATAAGGGTTCCTTTTCAAGGGTTCTATAAGGGTTTAGTATCGGGGACGTCAGTAATTAGAGTAGATACAAAGTTATGTACTATAATTCTAACAAGAAGCCCCCAAAATAACAGTGGTAATTATCTAGGCTCCTATAGTCGGCCTTAGGGTGAGGGTTGTAGACCTCTTGGCTTCAAGGGGTTTGGGTTTTGGGCTTTCGGGTTGCAAGCTGTAGTCCCAAACTTGATAACCCTTCAGCACGGCGCAAAACCCTGAACAGCCCCAGACCGCAGAAACTCCTAAATAAACCGCCAAACCCTCAGAGACCTTATCTCCCACACTCTGTACCCCAAAAACACTCCGGAACCCTAAACCCTAAACCCTTCTTGAACTGTGCAGAGTCACCCTCACAGCACCCTCCCTTGGGAAAACATCCTCGAAACTCCTTCTGAACTCCCCATAAAACCTTGGGGCAGGATAGAATGAAACATGGTATGATCTGCTTATAACTGAAACAGAATATAGTGTAATATGATATAGTAGAACCTAGTAGAACCCGATAAAACAGAGCCTAGTTAGAGGATCATGGGACCTGTATTAAGGTAGTTATGACCTTACTTTCTAAGTTAGGTCCCATGATACTCCAAGTACCGCTGCAGCTCGGCTGAGGGATTCGCTTTATGGTTTAATATTGCCTATAATGTAGTAGAATATAATGTAACATGATATAGTAGAACCTAGTAGAACCTAGTAGAACCTCATAAAACCGATAAGGTAGCTATAACCTTACTTACTAAGTCCCATGATACTCCAAGTAGGAGCCCCCTAAACCCTAAACCCTAAACCCTGAACCCTTAACCCTAAACCCTAAACACTAAACCCTAAACCCTAAACCGACCCTAGGAATTCCGTTTCTTCCAGGCCACCCGGGGGGGAGGTCGTAGAGGGGCCGCCCCGGCGATGGGGATCGCGGCTCGCTGCGCTTCACCGGCGTGGAGGCGCCTCTCTTTTAAAGGACTTCAAGGGGTTTAGGGGTTGAGGGGTTTA